GTGCTAAGCACAACGCCCCTCTCCACTCAGGCAGCAACGGTAGCCGCTGCGCTGCACTCACGCCGTGAGCCACGAAAGCCCCGTAAAACAACTCCGCAGCCAAGCGCCCCAAGTCGGGGTGGCAGCGGTACTGCAGACGCATTTGAAACACGCTGAAAAACGGACCCCCCCGCGGCAGCTCACTGCTCTGAGAAGTTTGGGATGCGTCTTCTTCAACATTTTGAGCCGAGCAACTCTGCGTTTCGTTAGCCGCAGAAGGCAGCGCTGCACGATGAAGAAGACGGGAGAAGAGGGAGGATGCAGTCGCTGATACGGGGCCCCGAAGACGCGTTGTCGGGGGCAACTGCCGCGTGTCACCAAGGAAGATGCAACGCAGCGGATGAGCGCGTGTTAGGACAGCCGCAGCCAAGGGCTCTGCAACTTGAGATGCTTCGTCCATCAGCAGAAACGGAAAAAAGCTTGCTGTTGTTCCTTCTGAGGCAGCCCCTCTAAACCCCCCATCAGAAAACAGATCACTGCTTGCAAAGGAGCTACATGTTGTTGCCCAGATGCGCCGGCGCTTCCATTGCTGCAGGATAGACACCGACGCAGCAGCGAAACAGCTGGAGGAGCAGACTAACCACACGGCATCCTGCAGTGCTCAGCTTTTCAGAAACAACAAATGTCTAATCCTACAAAAGCACGCTTTCACGTCTATCCTATCCTGCAGATACTGCGTCGTACGGTGTCTGGCCAACCTGCATCGAGGGAGGAAAGGAGCCGCTGTCAATGCTTTGGAGGAGCTGCTTCGCCATAGTTGCGAGGTTCGTGCGCGCACCAGGCGCAGAGAGGAGGCCAGACAAAACGGCCTTGAACTCGTGCACGGCTGTATTGCGTGCAGCACTGCTGCAAATGGCATACGGAAGTAGAGCAGGCTGCATCTCTGACAGGCGGCCAATGCGAGCAAAGTCGCAACACTCATACTGCCGCAGAAGCCGCAGCAACACGCCATCCACTGCTGCATTGGTTGCACACACCAACAGCACACGGCTGCGGCTCTTCGCTAGATCCAGGAGCCTACACAGTCGCACATCGATACAAACGGAAGCACGCATAAAAGGATTGCAATGCAGAAACGAATGCAGAACCCATACACCCCGCTAAGCAATGATGGCGCATATGTAGACTATCGCCCATACCTGCAAAGAGTCGCTAAAGAGGCTGCCAGCATGGTAGTTTTGCCTGCGCCAAAGACACCCTGGACTAGAAAAACAGGAGCCGACGAGGCAGGCATATTAACTGCTGTCGACGCCAGCGAAGAAGCAAGAGTAACGGAAACAGGAGGAGGCTCCAGCGTGGCGGGTGGGCCGGTCTCCTTAGGAGGATGCTGAGCTGGTTGGGCCTTGAACTGCTTCTCACCATCGGCGACGCCAACCTTAGAATTCTCATCCTGCAGAGGAGTGCATGTTTTGGCTTCACTACCAACGGCCAGTGAATCGTGGGCAGTAGAGGCGAGCGTTGCTGTACGCGGGTCCTGAACGTTGCGGTCCTTCACTACCGCGCTAGGCTGGTCCAGGCGAAAGCCAGAGTTTTCCTCAGGGCGCCGGTCTTCCGCACTAGCAATGCCCACCCCTGAACATTCCTCTCCCGGCAGCTGAAGTTCATCCAAATCATCTGCATAAAGACATATGTCCGCGATGTCGTCGTCATCTGGCGAAACCGCGGGTGCGCCACCCGTGTTACTGCCCTGTACCGCTACGGCGGAACTGTTGAGATCTCCAGCCTTTTCCTGTTTTTCAGACGGGGTCGCCTGAGACTTGGACTGGAGGGCTGAGTGCTTGTTGTCCTGGGAAAATATGGAGGAATCACCCTGCTGCAGCTCCTGAGAATTTTCACTACGATTAACTTGGTTTTCGCATCCCTCTGCATCCCCATGTTGCTTCTCATGAAGCTGCGCTTCATCTCGGGGTCCAAATGGGCGACGCCCATCAGTGTAGCCAAACCATCTCGAAATCGCAATAATGACTCGCTGCTGCTCTTCATTAAGCATCCAGCTGCCTCCGCCACTGGAGCATTTGCACACCACGGCCTCTGCATCTTCGCTGCTTACATCCTGCACGAACCACCCCGCAGCAACCCTACTTTCCATGCGCAAACACTCTGAATAGACAGTCTCGAAACACTCCTTTCAAGATGAGATATTCAAGAACGGCCCTTTCGCACGTAGCGCTTACCAGCATGATGAGTTGTGTAACTGTTGTCTCTGCTTCACGACCAGTTTCAGCTCCAAATCCTTGACAGCCAAGACCAATAACACGAGCAGCGCACGCCCTTCCAAGTTCCACTGCAGTATCCAAACACTTCAA